TATGTTGAGTAAAAGAGGTGAAAGTGGACATCCCTGTTTTGTTCCTCATCTTAAGCAGCCTATATTTTGATTTGCTCAACCTGGCAACCCTAATGCAGAGCTAATTAGCAACTACATAGTGGGGATGACTCCGACTCGAGGAGTGCCATTTACTCATAACTGGCCTCTTCATACTTCCTCCCTTGGCCCTGAATAAACCATAACACTTGGAGTTCACTGATGTAGTGCTGCCTCTCTAGGCCTGGCAGCCACATTAACCTAGAACCTCACTCGTGCTCTGTACAATACACTAAGCCCCACTCCCTTGCTGTTAAAGAGGAATAAATATTGTTCCAACCACCTACGTCTGAGGAGGTCTAATCCCACCTCAGTCTTTTGTTCCAGTGAGAATCAAGATCACGCTGCAGTAGACTTAGTCTCAACGCCCCCTTCATAGCAGGCTGCACACCTGCTGTCTGGCTCGGGTCCACTGGCACACACACCAATTGCACTGTGTAATCTCAGTCCCAGCAGACATTGTATCGCTCATCTGGATAGTGTTCCATGTCTGTGCTGAGAGTAAAAACACTCTAAGTGCAGTAAGCCGCCACAAGGTAATGCCACGTGACAGACTCTTGAGAAACTTGAGCTTTAAACATCCCACCTAGTTTGTACTTACAGTGACTTAATGAGATTTCCAGAGTCAGAACTGAAAGGTGGGAGAGGGAAAGCATCAAATCATTGAAAGGGAAATAAAAGTTAAATAAGGTCAATATACATACACAAAAACATTCAGTTTCATTTACAATACTTTTTCAAACTAAAGAAAGGAGATATCACTGGGGGCCTACATATTTGGTAAGAATTGCCAAGATCTTAAAAGTATCTGGGGTTATCAAGGGCATATTATCATATAGTCAAATGTCACTATTTATATGATCTTGTTAGACAGTAAAATTGCATAGAAGAGGTATTTTTTGACAACAAAAAATAAGAAACACCTAAATATTAACTAACAGGAACCAATAATTATGTTACTTCTTATGTGAAGAAGAAGAGAGATTATATATAACAGCAAGGAAATATCTGTGATAGGTTAAGAAAGGGAAATCATAGGACTGTGTATATATATTGTGTGCATGTTCCTCTTTCAGTTTTTAAATTATCTGGATTATAATTATAGACAACTAGATAGGCTGGTAGATATGTATGCTCCTGTTGGCCACTGAATTACCTAGAGTAATGAGGACAGGTAAAAGTACTCTTTCCCAAATTTAAGTCGAATATATGTCCCAATTAAGTGGTGACTTCTAGCCCAGTTTCCAATGATCCAAAGGACAACTTGGGGGTTACTAATTCCATTTGAAGCTCCTACTCCTGGTCTTCCTTTGATTGTCATGGGGGCAATTTATTCCAAGTCTAAGCAGTTTCCCTCAGGAGATAGGCTAACCAGGTCTTGTGGAACCTAACCATAAAAAAATTTGAGGTCCCCTTTAACAAACAGTTTTAAAATACCTTGTGCAGAAGTTGCAAATCACTGACCATGTAAATCCACTACTAGAGTGTCCCTCAGGGCCAAGGCAGTGAGAGGCTCAGAGCTCAGGCTCAGCAGGGTGTGGCCAGCACTTACAGAGCAGAGGTGAAGTGGGGAGCCCAGTCCCCTGGCATCTTCCAAGTGTGCAGCTAGGCTAGGTGGCTGGTGAGTAGTAATCAACTTCACTGTCCCTCCTCAGGAGAAGAGAGAGGTGGTTCCCTTACCCCATCCAGGTGAGGGTGTTCCATGAAAAAACACTCCCGGAGATTGGGGGTGTCTGCTGCCCAACCGGAAGAATCTGAAGGCAGGAGGCATTCTGGATCAGCCTGAACTTTAGGACAGAGGCTGCAGGGGGCAGTCATCCGGCAGTCTGAAATCAGCATGTTTTCAGAAGTACGGGTATGAAACCAGCACTTCTCACTGTTTGAGAGAGGTTAGCACAAATTCCCTGGGCCAAAGGATGACATGACCGGCGACTGCACATGGGAGATCTTGAAGGGACCCCATCCAAGGGCTTCCGATCGAGATGAAGCAGTTAAAGAAAGAAGTGGGAAGGAAGCTGGGACTAGGATCAAGATGGCAGGGACCAGCCAATGAGCACCAAAGTGTGGGCAGACGTCTCTGAAGAATTCCCTAACATGCCCCGCAAAGAGCCAGCATTTGGAGGTCTGCAGGATGGAAGGCTGCAGAGAGAATGATGAACACCACCACCTGTGTGAACAGAGCTGTACTCCTCTAACCCTTCTCCTCAGCCTTGCCCTACCTCCACTTAGGAGATCACTTGTGAGTGAAGAGAAGTGGCAGACCATGGCGGAGCATGAATAAAGGCACAGACCCACCCCTCTAGCCACAGCGGATTCCTGAATCATGCTTTAAGGGGCCACAGAGGAGGGAGAGGAGAAGCTGGGAATTAGAGTTGAAGTTGAAGCTTTGTGTCATACTGTATTGGACTTTTACTATCTGAAAATGTGACCGATCTCACAGACAAAAGTGAACTGAAGGCAATGGAATCTGCCAGAATTGCCATCAATCGAACACAGAAATGGAGATGAGAAAGAGTTGGTTGAAAGGCACTGGGGAGAGAAAAGGATGCTGTTTCCTGATTGTTCCCCTACTCTGTTCAGCCCATGATGTACCTCAGTTACACAGGATATATTTCTCATTCAATTTTTCTCTCTCACTTTGTTAAGACTGCTTACAGTGGAGGCCCTACCTACTTCATCACAGCAACACTAGGCACTAAGACATGGTGATTTGTCACAGGATTTGCAACTCACACACATGACACACGATCCCCTTGACTCACATTCAGAGTCTCAACAACCATCAACACAACATTTTAAAAGTTCTCATTCATTCTATCCCTTGATTTCTAGCCCTTTCATTTCTTCTTAATAGAGGCAACCAAAATGTGCAATCATAATTGAGAGTGATTTCTTTATGGTTTGCTTTCAGCTGAATCACGTGGACAAGTCTGGGAATGTTTAGGGCAACAAACATAAAATTGAAGACGTCAGTGCTGGCCACAAGTTTTGTATAAGTCTCTCAGATTTTTCTGTCCACATATACAATTTCAAAATATCTGTAAACAATATTTAAAACTCATGAATAGATTCTCTCTTCCTTTTAGCAGAGTTTATATACTTTTCTGTTTAGTAATAATATGCCTCAACCATCTTAAAATTTTTCTTCCATTTTCGTTTTCATATCAATAGGACACTATTTCACCAGTCACTCAAATTGATGCTCTTTTCTCAAGTTGACATATTTCTCCCTTTCAGTGCCACTTCCAAAACATCTAAATGCATCACTGCCCCCCCCAGCAGAATAATTTCATTTAGCAACAATTGTTTGCACATTAATTAAGGGCCAATCTGGACATTGGGAATATAATGAAAAATAATACAAAGTTCTTGACTTCATGAAACTTTCATTATATTGGGGAATTAGTCAACAGCAAATTGAGAGCTATAGTAGTTGGGATTCTCCAGGTAAGAGAATCCATAGAATAGGTAGGTAGGTAGGTAGGTAGGTAGATAGACAGATAAAAGGAATTGGCTTACACAGTATGGAGGCTGGCAAATCCGAAATCTGCAGAGCCCCTGTTGCAGTTTCAGTCTGCAGACAGCAGGCTGCTGGAAAACTAGGGAGATGACAATGTTCCAATTTGCAGGCCATCAGGCGGGAATTTTCTCTGACTTGGGAGGCAGTCAGCCTTTTGTTCTATTCAGGCCTTCAACTGATTGGATGCGGCCCACCCACATTATAGGGGACAATCTTCTTCACTCAGTCTACCAATTGAAATACTAATCTTATCCAAAAAGACTTTAACAGAAACACCCAGAATGATGTTTGACCAAATTTTGAGCACCTCATGGCCCAGTCAAGTTGACACATAAAGTTAACCATCACAAGATATAAAAACAAATACATAAGATGTGTTATGACAGACTACAGAGAAAACAGATCTGGCAATCTCATCACATGGTGACATGAGAGAAGGTGATATGAGAGAAAGGAAAGGGAAGAGGTTAATATAAGCACACATTTAAGTTATGACACTGGCTCAAAGTTTAAATACATCAGTATCCAAATGCCATCTTGTGGCTGGTTATTCACATGAAGTTTTATTTATTTGGTGCCATTCATCCCACATCTGCTGAGATAGGGTAAAATGTTTGGAATCAATGGAATTGCCAAAGGCTCCAGGGTTTCTGCTCCGGTTTCACTTGTATTTTTAGTAGCAAACCCACGCTTGGTGGGTTCCAGTACCAGCAGCCACACCAGCTTCACATCATGTCCAACTGCCTTCTTTGCTTATAATAGATTTATTGCAAGCACACCATAAAATACAATATTCATGATCGATATACATAAGGATGCCATAACAGAAATACATACACATTTAAACTAACATACCCAATCACTTTACAACCACTATGTTTAGTGTAACAATGACATCATTACGCAGAATCAGTAGGACTGGATCATTTCCCCAAATCCAGGCCTCCATAAATAGTAGTCTGCATTCTTGGCCCTATGTTGTAATCTTTGCTTGGTAACTTTATGCAGCCTAATAAAAAACTTATTATAGAAAAGGACTTGGGGATGGCCCATAATCCATGATTTCTCTTGAAGACATATTATCATTATCGTGTAGGTTGAATCTTAACATTCTTTTCACACACACACACACACAGACACACACACACACACCCCACCACCACCACTCCTTACATCTGCATCGCTCAGAAGGCCTGCTGACGCTGAGAATTACTGGCTTTCTTTTTAACAAATAAACATATGTATAAAGCCAATACACTGTATATTTTAAACTTATGCAATATTATAGATCAACTGTGTCTCAATAAAATAAAAATTTAAAAATATTCTACAAGGCAAAAATGTGTATTAAATGATAAAATTACATGAAAGAACATTTAGAACATATGTAAAAGGTACAACTATAATAATTCAAATACCCTTGGTGCTCACTTTGGCAGCACATACACTAAAGTTGGAACGACATGGAGATTAGCATGGCCCCTGCGCAAGGATAACACACAAATTTGTGAAGTGTAAAAATTAAATAAATAAATGCCCCTGTGTATTAGTTTCCTATTGCTCTATCACACATGACCATAAACTTAGCTGCTTAAAACAACAGCCATTTATTAGCTCACAGCTGTGTGTGTCAGAGGTGCAGCATGGCGGGACCGAGTTCTCTGCTGAGGTTGCCACATGGCAGCAATCAAGGTACCAATCAGGCTAAATGCTCGGTGCAGGCTCTGGGGAAGCATCAGTTCCAAGCTCATTCTTGCTCTTGGCAGACTGTAGCTCCTTGCATTGTGGGATTTAAGTCCTCCTTTCACTGACATGTGACTCCCTCTATCTTCAAGCCAGCAATGACATGTCAGTCAAATCCTTCTGATGTTTTGAATTTCTAACATCCTAATCTGCAACCCTGGAAAAAACTCTGCCTTTAGAGAGTTCATGTGATTGGATCAGGCCCACCCAGACATTTCTCCCCTTTGATTAACTCAGAATCAGCTGATTATTAACCTTAATCACATCTATAAAATCCTTTTTGCACATTAAATGGCAGAATCACAGATGTAACACAAAGGAACAGAGATCATTAGGGCCTTTTTAGAGTTCTTCTTACCACATGTTGTATCCAGCATCGTTATAACAAGATGAAAATACTACCAATCCTCTATGGGTACCTTCCTGGTCTTACCCCCTTCCTGCCACTTCTGGGCCTGGCCTTCTCTTGCTTTTCTTTACCTTTAGCACATGTGCATCCAACACTAAGAATATATCATTCCAGGGTACCTAATTTCAAAGTATATCTAGATGGAATAATGTGAAAATAACCTTGGTGGTAAAGGATAGTTTTTTTGACAAAGGTGCTAGAATCATTGGATATCCACATGTAAAAGAGTCAGCTTTGCCCCACACCCTGCGCAACGTGCCAAGAGTAATTCAAAATGGATCAGAGATCTAAATGTCAAGGCTAAAATTATAAAACTTTTAGAAAAAAAGAAAGCATAAGAGGAAATGTATGTGGCCTTAAGTTAGGCAAAGATTTGTTTTTCTTTTTTTTTAAAGATTTTATTTATTTATTTTTAGAGAGGGGAAGGGAGGGAGAGAGGAAAACATCAATGTGGGGGTTGCCTCTTGTGCGCCCTCTACTGGGGACCTGGCTTGCAACTCAGTCATGTGCCCTAGACTGGGAATGGAGCTGGTGACCCTTTGATTCACAGGCCATGCTCAATCCACTGAGCCACACCAGCCAGGGCAGGCAAAGATTTCTTAAACATGATACCAAAAGTACAATCCACAGATTGATAATCTGTGGCTTTCTCAAAAATTGAAAGCTTCTGCTTTTCAAAATAAACTATTAAGACCATAAAAAAGCATGCTACAGACTAGGAGAAAACATTTGCAAATAATATATCTGACAAAGGACTTGTACCTAGGATATATAAAGAACTATGAAAACTAAATTTTTTAAAATCTCAAAATAAAAAAACCTCAAAAAAGATTCTGACACTTCACCAATAAGATATATAGATGGCAAATAGACACATGAAAATATGCTCATCCTTATTAGTTATTAGAAAAATCCAAATCAAAAGTACAAGATAAGATTATTCACCTACTAAAATGGCTGAAAATAGAAAGGTGAGTGGGTAAAAAAGTTGTGGTATATCCATACAATGGAATACTGACAACAAGACGGAATGGCCTATTGATACCTGCAACATGAATGAATCTCATTATAATGATCATGAATGAAGAAGCCAGACAACAAAAGTACATAGTGTAATTCCATTTATATTAATCCCTAGAAAAAGCAATATAATTTACTGGGAAAGGAAGCAGGTCAGTTGGTGTTTAGGGTGATGGGAAGAATCAGAAGGGAGGGTTACATGGGGCAGAAAACTTTTGAGAATTATGCTATGTCTGTTATCCTGATGGTGTGATGGTTTCCTGTATAAATATGTGAAACTGTTTAAATTGTTTATATATGTGCAGCTTATTGTGTAGCAATTCTGAAAAATCCATTTAAAAGGCAGAAAAATTAATTTACTCTGAACTTTATATATTTAAAAAATCAACTGAATGGATTATTTACCAGCTGCTTGAGCATGTGCAAACGAAAACACAGCACAGAGAGTCACCCACAATTGTGTGTCTAATTAGTCCCAGGAGAACAAACAAATTTAATAAATAAACATCTTTGGTATACGATACACTATCATCACTGGTTCATGCAGTCTTACTTATTTTGTTTGCTTCTATGTTTATCATAATGTTATGAAGAGTCATGAGTACCTGGCCAAATAAATAATTCTGATTATCACTTTGACCCATTTTATACCCTGGCCTTCAAACGCCCTGCCTAAAATTACAACCACCTTGAATTTCCTATTTAACCTTCTCTTGATATCTTAGAATGTTTCATGTTTCATGTAACATGATTTTGAAAACTTGTTTAGTTCTGAATGTTCTTTAAACTTTTTTGAAATGGGTATCATGCTCATGGCGGCACTATTCACAGTAGCTAAGAGATCAAAGCAACCCAAGTGTCCACCGACAGATGAATGGATACATACATTGTGGTGTATATACATACAGTGGAATGCTATGCAGCCTTAGGAAAGTAGGAAATTCAGACACATGCTACAACATGGATGAATCCTGAGGACATTATGTTAAGTGAAATAAACCTGACACAAAAAGACAAAAACTATATGATTCCACTTATATGAGGTGTCTAATGTAGGCACATCCACAGAAGCAGAAAGTATAAAGGTGGTTACCAGGCAGTGGGGAGAGGGGAGTAGGGAGTATTTTCGTGGATATAGATTTTCAGATTTACAAAATGAAAAAGCTTTTTAGATATGTTTCACAGCAACACACTTAAAAATGTATTGAACTATATACTTAAAAATGGTAAGATGGTAAATTTCATTGTTATTTATTATATAAACCATTACAAAATAAATGCAAATGCTAAATGTAGTCTTTTCCCACTAACATTGCTAAATTATTATTCATATTATTGTATGTAACTGTTTTCACTGTTGTAAAATATTACTTTTCTTGTTCCTTCTTTCTTTGGTTTATTTTGATAGTTTATTTTGCTTGACATTGATTTTCAGCATTTTATTAAAAATTTATTCATTAATGGTTATGTATTTTCTGCAATATGTTTTAATGTAGTAAAGATAATATAATATGTATTTTAATACAAAGTATTTCTGTTATTGTTTAGAATATTTTCTAATTTTTATTATGATTTCTTCTTTGACACATGGGTTATTCAAAAGTATAATTTAAAGACTGTAATTAGATTAGAATTTTTATAGTTACATTTTGTTCATTATTTAGTTCATTGTGTCCAGAGAAGCACAATATATGAGTCATTTTTAAAATATTCGTGTGATTGAAAAGAATGTCATTCAGTTTTAAGTATTTTCAAATTTTGGTCATCATATTTTTAGAATTATAGGTTGTTTAAATCTCCACGGAGTCAAAAATTTTAATGACTTATTTTTGTCATTAAATTCTGATATATTTTGGTCAGTATAATACCTATTCTTTGAAATTTGTTGAGGTTTTCTTTATGGCTTACAGAATAATGAATTTTTATAACTGTTAAACTTGCCCATTAAATCAAGCTTATTAATAGTGACATTCAAATCTATATTTCTAACTGGACTTTTAAAAATATATCAACAATTACATATTTGCTAAATTCCCTACCATGGCATTGGATTTGTTGATTTCTTCTTGTAGTTTTATCAACTTTGTATATATTCAAATCAATTTCATATGTATATATATGTTTAGAATTTTTAATGTAATTTTTACATCTTATTGGTGAATTGAACATTTACTATTATGTAATAAACATCTGTATACCTAACAGTGCTTTTTATTTTAAAGTACATATTTTTATTGTTTTATAATAATTAATAAGTTATACCACTGTTCTTTTAATTAGCATTTACCTAACATATATTTCATATACTCTTACATACTACCTCTACATAGTCCTATGTATTAGATTACCTTATAAATGAGCATAAAACTGAATTTTTAAAATCCATTCCATCAATCTCTATTTTTTCACTTACAATTTTAGTTCATTATATTGGTCGTGATTATTTATATATATGGATTTGTTTAAATCATGTTTTTATTCAATTTTCTGGCTTTACTATATTATTTTTCATTTCTTATTTGTTTCTCTGAAGCAATGTTAACCATCCATATTACCAAGGACTTCGTGGTTAAAAAAAAAATTAGTGAGCACTAGCTTTCTGCTTGGCAAGGGTGTCATAGCTTTCCTTCCACTCTTCTCTTTGCTGCTATTGGTCCAAAGCTGTGGAAATAACCCCAAAGAGATTTGACCCAGTTTCTTCTCTGGTCTATTTTTCATTTTAAGAACCCAACCCCAGAGGATTAGGGAAATCCCCAAGTGGTAAGAAGCTCACACCCTTTGAAGAAGCCAGCAGATGACAGGAACCTAGTAAGGAACTACTTGCTTTTCCTTCCATCACCACCATTTGCAGACCCTTCCTTCCCTATGATCTGCAGGAAGTGGGGACCACAGGGTGTCAGTCTCTCTAAGGATCCACCAGTGCTTCCAGACCTGTCCCTTACGGTGTTGCTCCCCTAACCCCATCACTAACCACCAGCATGTCCCTTTCTTACTTGCCAAAATACTGCACTGCTTTCTCAGAAAAGGAAGAGACCCACAGTTCTCTGCACCTTCTTTCGCTTGGTCTAAACTGTAATTTAGGAAGCAGGAATTCTATGATGTTTGAACAAGGTAGTTGATCTTTTTCTAAATTCAGATGTCTTACTTTACTCCCCCAAATTTAATTTCTTTAAGTCTTTCTTTTGAGAGTGATTTGGGAGGGGGTCAAAAATCAGGATCAGTACTATGTAAGCTTGTTCTTAGATGTTCATATCCTTGGTTATCTACATGTTCTAATTCTCCTAAAATGAATTTATACTGTTTGTGTAATTTAAATATAAATTTCACCTAAGTTTATTTAAAAATAAATGTCATT